TAGTTTATCGTGAAGGTCTGCGAATCGTTCTTAGCTACCTTAAAATTATTTCCTAGATTATTCGGACTGTATTTCCAGATTAAATTTGCCTCATATCTACCGTTTTAAACTTAAAAACTGCAAATTTCTTTCAAACTGCTCTACTATTTCGCAGTCAATATCGGAATAATCATCAGAATCATTTATTCCCATATGTTCTAATTCCCAAAAACCTCTTAAATCTTTCAACACAACAGTGTTTGTCATTACCGCTAAATTTTCAGAACAATTTTTATTTGTTTTATTTTTCTCTATTCCTGCAGCAACCCAACCAAACACAGAACTGACTGCGTGCAACCCTTCAGATATTTTAATTCTTTCTGAATAACTACATTCGAGAACTCATCCCCGCCAATTAATATCTCAACATCTGTGTTATTTTTTCTAGAGCAATCGGCAATCTGCAACCCCAGATGCTCCATGATGTCTGCAATTTCTTTGCTGGGCACACTGATGGGTGCTGAGGAAATAGCATCCGAAATCAAACATTCAATTTTGATTTTATTTCCAATTCTGAATTTTGATTTTAACTACCGGATAGGAATGATTCATTGCCTTGGTCACACCAAATGAATAAAGTCTTTCATAACGTATTGGAGTAAGTTTTAAATAGTCGGCCAATTTTTTAGTTATAAAGGATCTGTGACTGTCTTGATCAAGAATTAATCTAGTTAATTTTGATTTATACTTTAGAACAAGGCATAAACTGTACAAGTTTGTAATAATATTTCCCTGGCATTACAGTCATTATTAGTCATTATCACCTTATCATCACCTTGTAGAGAAGCAATCAATTTTAAGTTTTGAACTTTGTTTCTTTCCTCAGAATTCAAAGTCAGAGATTCAGTTTCATTTTTCGGAATAACCTCGTTCCGACTTTTTGTTTACAGGGAATTTATTAGTACAAATATTTATTACATTTAGTTTTATTTCTACACTTTTTTTTATGTATGAAATTTTTTAAAACAAGAATAGCAGCGGTTTTCGGATCTTAGTTTCTTTAATTTATCAGAAACATTCACTTCGCATTTAAATGACTCGTGCAAATTATCACAAAAGATGCATTTTCGGTTAACTGCAGTATGAAATGCAGCCGTGGGTGTATTTTTTACATATTTTCTAGTTTCATATTTTGATTGATCGACTTGTGGAGGGACAGGATTTTTGCCTTTTCATTTAATACTAGATTTGAAACTTCCCTGCATTCTATTTCCTTTTTAATAAATTGTGTTAATTCCGAAACTTCAACTTTATCTTTCGATTCTCTTTGCCGATTAAATTCCAAAACTAAATCGTCCGGAATTAATTTAATAATATTGGAATTAGTAAATGTCCATATGAGCCAGAAGTTACTTCTAAAGTTTCTAAATTACGAATCGAAACTTCTAATTCGTCATATAATTTAAAGCCTTTACGTTAGCAGAATTTTTAACGGCTTCTAAATTGAGAATTTTATTCATGAATGAATTAATGATCAGGTCTTTTCGACCATATCTGTCCTTTAGTGATGCTAAACATTTTGATTTATCAAAGATCACAACTATCATAATTACTTTCAGTTAACTCAAAACCTGAAACAACATCCAAAGCTTGTCCCGTTAAGAATGTTTTTAAGTATGCAAATTTTTGTATTTTTGAAAGCGTTTCGTTTATATGTATCGAATTTCCGAAACTATTCCAAAATTCATTCCATTGTTTGGGGTATCCCCAAAATTTATCAATTATTAATTTTGGTAATTTCAGCGTACTATTCCCACTAGAACTGGAACTTACTTGCAAAATTCCATTACCACTAGACTGGTTTAAATCAGAACTTTGGGGATTCCTCGCTGGCTGTATTGCGGTAACCGCACCTAGAAACTCTTAATTTGACTACAAGCAATTATACATTTGGTCATTGTATTCTCCACTTATACTATAATCTTCTTCAATTAAGTTAACATCAATTAACTCTTGTATTTCATCATCAAGCGTTCTCAAATTACTTTTCTTTTCGGTTAATAATTCAAACAATTCCCGTAATTCTTTAATCGAATTTTCCTCCCTTTCAATTTTTAATTTATCTTTATTATTTATCACTTTAATTAACCTAGTAACAGACGATCTCAACGTGGAACGTTTACGTTTCAACCTATCTAACTTCTCATCCATTTTATTTAATTTAAATACACCCACGACAGCAATAATAAATACCTACTAATTTACTACAAATAATCACTAAATAATTAATTTAAGATTTCCCTACCTTTATTTGGAATTCCATTGTCCCTTGAATATGAAATATCCATTGTTAAATTCAAATCGAAACACTTAGATCGAACACCTAAAATCTTCACAAAGCCTTAATTTACGCCGATGCACCATCTAATAATATTTTGTGCATTTCCAAATCAGATGATGGTGGTGGTTCAGTGAGTTTACTAATTTTAACACTTTTACAATTTTAACATTATTTTTATTCACTATATACAGAGCGTATTCTTAGGCCGCCGCCTTCAACATGAACAAACTTTATTCTCTTTCACCTATGCGAGTAACAGCGCCCTCTAGCCTTTTTCTTCAAATTACACAACAATACCCATACGGAATCGAGTGCCAACCCAGCAGGGAGATGCCAGAGAGGACCGCCCCACGGTAACACAACTCCGTGGAGACGGCAAGTTTAATGTTCTGTTCCTGACAGACAGACAAAGTAGACAGATGTCTTTTCCTGCATCCGCTAAGTCTTTCTGCACCGATGGGCGAAAAATCAAGCATAGGTGCGAAGGAAAGGTATATAGAAAGGGGGCAATTTCGTATTTCAGAGGAGAGTAAAAAAGAACTTCGTATATTTATACGAGTTGAAAGGCCAGGAAGAAAGATGGGACAAAATAAAGAAAAAAATAAATGGCCCAAAAGTAATGGAGAGGAAAAAAATATTTTTATTTATATTTAAAAAAAGGGCCTATAGAAAGAAAAGGAAAGAAAGTAAGAGAATTTTGTAAAAAAAAAAAAAAAAAAAAAAAAACACTATTGTGTTCAATGAGTGTAGTCAAGTTGTTATCATTTACATTAAATAGAGTCTTCCAGGTGTGTGTAATGTGTGTGTTTTGTAAAGCTGAATAGATGTAAAGATGGGGGGAATTATAATAAAATAATAAATATTGGGGGTCCAGTCACATAACAGTATAAGTGAAGTTTAGAACTAACTTTTGCTATAACAGGGAAACTAAAATTTAAACTTTTATTTTTTAACATGGAAACCAATATTAGCCTCTACCTTGAGACACATTAACAGAAGACACATAAGATCAAGATACATATCATGCAAAGTTAACATTAAACTAAGTACATCATCTATTGCGGTTTCCAACATATTTATATACTCAGAAAACACCATCAGATAAAATCCTAAATCCAAAACAAGGCGAGAACATATCAGCAAAATAATAAGTAAATAAATAACGGAGTTTTTTTATTTTAATATTAATTATTTTTTAAATAAGCATTTTAATTATTTATTAAGTTAATGGTCATAATTTATTATATATGTACTATTTTATCAATTTGAGGCACACTGTATTAATATATGCTTTTAATTTAAATAGATAGGAAATATAGATTAAAAGAGCAAAAACTACATTGAGGCCCGAGATCGTGTTTTTGCCTCTCGAGAAATTCCTCAAAGGGACCCCAATGGGTAGTGCTAACACTACTGATAAGGGCTACTTATAAGGATAGCGTCCCTACGAGATGGTAACCAAAAAAGAACCACATGATTTAAAGCAATTACTAAGTATTTAATGCCAGAACATAATAAAATGAGCATAATAATAATAATGATCATAATAAATAAATGAATTTAAAGGTACTTTAGTGACAGATATTTGATTTAGCTTACAGAAAAGACATTCTACTTATCTGAACGCTCCGTCTTAGTGCTGCAAAAGATTGCAAGGAAGACAAGACCCCCAGGTACAGGAGAACTCCCGGCCTTGAGAACGAGACAATGCAGAGGATATTCGCGAAAATTTTGTTAAATAAATGAAGATTTTCCGGAAAACACCTTTGAAAATTCAGGAGCTCTTCCAAGATCCTGCCTCCATCGTACGTGATCACAGCCGCTCGCGGGGTCCAGCTTCCTCCTGTTCTGTTTCTGAAAAAAAGGGAGTCACAACACGGAGCCCTGGAAGCGTTGCTAACATTCTATTGTCATACTGCATAAATCAAGTAAAAGGAAATTACAATTGAATATGGGAATACTTACACTGTTGTTGCATTACATATAGTTAAGAGATACAAGTGCGTAGATTTACATAGAGTTGCAAATTTAATAATAGGCATTCATATGATATTGGTGCAATTATATATAGAGAAATTCAAACAATACATAGGGAAATCCTAGTGGTTACCGCCAATAGGGTACAGACAGAACAGTGTAGGAGCTTTACGAGTATACATTAGTTGAGAGAGTTATCAGTGGCGTAGCTAGGGTGGGGCAAGGGGGGACATCTGTCCCCGGGAGCAGCATTCATAAGGCACCAAACTCATGTTACGAAATTTTAGAATGAAATTTTTCCGTTCTTGGAACAGAGAAAGGGGCGCAAAATCTTCAGTTGTCCCCTAGGCGCTGAAAACCCTAGCTACGCCTTTGAGAGTTATGTCTTGTGTGTTGTAGTTCATGTTCTAGTGCACACCTCCAAATGAAGGTAATTACAATGTAATTACCATTTGACAATCAGAAGTAGGTAGCCGTGCAGCAGCTGATATTTCTAATTAGTAAGATTTGATGAGTCAATGTAGTAGGAGTAACATGGCCGCCAATAAGGCTCCTCTAAACCTCTAAAGAATAAGGCTCTATAGAGGAGCCTTAGCCGCCAAGAAACACGGTTTAAGTTGAACCTTCCTCCTTCTGTTCTAACCTGTTTGCCTTTTTCCCTGCCTTTTCTTAGCAATTTCCAGCGGGCAAAAAGACATAAGAGCAATTGAAGATGACTGCAACATGTGAATTTGTAATGTTTGTTTTCAGTTTATTTACAGAAATTAAATTGACTGACTAGATACCTTTACCATTAATTTATAATTAAAATGAATGCATTACTTCGTAGTCGATGGGTTCATGTTTTGGAACATCGTTTTATATATCCAGAAGATTATCGTTTATCAAAATATATTCTTTTGAAAATTTTAAGTTGCAATAGGACATACCAGCATAGTGCTGAAACCCTTTCTTCTGAAAATGTAAATAACGAAATTAACTGCCGCAGTGCTTCAAATGAGCGTAAGATTTTTAATGAAAGTAAATCAGATACATTTGGTACTTTAAAAAGAAACATTGAGAAGAAAAATATTAGTAATACAAAGGCAGAAAAAAGTCTTGAAAGATCTAAATCTAGAATTAATAATATGAAGTTTCAGGTGGAAAAATCAAGGGTAAAGAGAAAGGTAAAATCTCTTACGAAAGATGAAGGTAATATTTTTGGAAACTTATCAGAAGCTAATCCTATCTGGTATCCTGATGTGAATGAGGATCCTCAAGAATTTAATGATCAAAGTGATGATAGTGTAATGATTAAAAATATTAGCAAAAGATACAGATGTCCAAATGTGTATATGCTTGAGATGAAGCGCTTAGTTGAAGAAAAAAAGGTACTGAACTTTCCAATATTTAATAAATTAAATCTTAAATTTATTTTATGCATATGAAGTAAAGTAGTGATGTAAATTCTAATTTTTCAAGATGTATATCATCCTAATATAACAAGACCAGTCTTACTTTATTTAGTCCTTTGGGCAAAATTTTTTTCGGCATGAAAGCCCAAAAGGTACTTTCTGACTATCTCAACAACTACTACCAACTTTGGAAAGTTACTAAAAAGGATATTTTTTTTTAAATAGCTGATCAATTTACACTTATAAATAACTGATATTTTAAAATTTTTTAGCTTAAATAAATAAAAATTATATACAAGAAACCTTAGTTTACAAACTTATTTTGTTCTTTTAGGTTGTTTGTCAACTGAAATGTTCATAAACCGAAGCAGTTTTCTTCATAGGAATTAATGTAAAATAGATTAATTCCATAGTGGATTATAGATTGTTGCTTATTTAAACTTTTCAAGAGTTCTTTGTTCACAAGTTTATAAGCTGTAATCAAATAATAAATCAGCATAATAATATTCCATAACTCAAAGTGGAAATCATTAGTTATAAACAAATTATTAAGGATGAAACTTTATTTTATTTAATATGCACAAAGCACAGCTTGAGTAGAAAATAATTAAGATATTTGGTTTCAAAACTCCCTTCCATAAAATTATTTTTAAGAGGCCTCTTCTTTTAACTTTTCTTTGCCTCTAAGTTAGTTTCATTTGACTATGCTTGAAACTATGCACCTCTGTTTCACTCAAAATTTGTCCAATGTGATTTGCTGTTGCCTATGTTTTAAATTTTTCTGAAATGAGGCATGACTTTGCCACTGAAAATGCTAATACTTGCCACTGCTTTTCTTGAGTAATATCATTATGTGAAAACTTTAAATTTTATCCCATTTTACAAAAATTCCTTGAATTAATGAATAAGTATAATTTTATTTTTCCCTGAAAGCATTTCTTTCACAATAGCCTTTTACTACTATTTTGATTATTGCAGTTCTTTCTTATTCAGCTGATTTTTATAACTCTCTAATTAACTTCTCACTATCCTCACTGCTAGCTTCCTAGCCTGTCATTTTCTCTACATAAAGGCACAAATAGAAGTTAGGCCAGCATCTTTGTAATACCATTGATGATTAAGGTATTGCTGCCCCTAACTAACTACTATTAAGCTTCCATTCCAATTTTGAAAGAGAACATCTCTGGGGACTGTTTGTGGGTGTCCCACCTCTTTTTCCTTAACACCAAACTCTCGAGAGGCCTTTCAGCTCATTATCTATTTTAAGTGTCCCCTTTTCTGCATAGACACTTAATACTTACAAACATCCATGGCTTCTCTGAAATTCAGGTCTGAGCCCAATGGTATGGTAGTCAGTATCACTAAATATTATAACTGGTTGAGTGGCTTTGCCTAGAGATTCAGTATTATAAATATTAAAATAACTGATTTCTTTGTTAGTTCTTGTATTAGTTGTTAATCTGTTGTGTTAATTACTAATATGTATTACTAGTTGTTAATATGTTGTATTAACAAAAGCACCGAAAGTCTATTCCTGTTTAGCCTTTATCTTCTCCAGGCCGAATTCATACTCTTGCAAGTTGCTTGCTTTCAGGCTTTGTTAATTGGAGTTAAGCTATAAAAAATATTAAAATGAGATTTCCAAAAGTATTAATGATATGAGGTTCTGCTGTATTTATTAACCAAGCCCTTAATGCAAATTGAAAATAGCATCAAAAATTGCAAATTTTGAAATTAAATATCTCAGTCAGTTTTGTTCATGTAGGAGTCAAACTTTTTTTTTTTTTAATATATAATGTAACATTTTTATAACATAACATTTATAATATAATATATAATGTAACATTTTCCTAAAATATAAATATAGGGCAAGAGAGCATATAAAATATTAGATTTCATAATTTTTTCAAAATTTATTAATCCAAAGGGGCAGTTGGAACTACTCTGTTATGCGCCCTCAATTCGCCAAACATTTTTGGCGAGAAACTTCATGCTGCCATATTACTATCTAAATTTTTTGTCTACATTTCAAACTTTAAGCCTAAAATGTCTCCAAAACGCGGTTTTCGCACATGCAAAAACTATGTTTTGAACACACGATTTAAGCTAAAAATCCGAAACAAAACAAAAAATTTAGATGGCAAAAACATAAAGTTTCTAGCCAAAAATATTTGACAAGAATCCATCTACATGTTTTAACTTAAAAAAACATCTGCGTATGGCACAATCTAGGCAACGAATGAATCTACGAACTACGCACACCTCGCTTTAATAAATTAACATAACAGCAATAAATTTCAAAGAATACCATGTACACAGGGTTCTGTTTCAACTTTAAAAAACATCAACGAATTGCACAATCTAGACGCTACGCACTAATCAACAAAATAAACTATAATAAATTTCAAATAATTTTAAAAACCAACAATAACGACAGAAATTCATACTAAAGAACCAATGAACATAACATTCTACAAAATAGGAACAAGAATAAAATAAAATGCACTTACCATGAATTAATGCTTTTTCGAACAGCAGAAATACCAATTTCATACCACCTTTAACATGCCACCACGTAATCACTATCATATTTACATGACAGCCAGACACAGTTCAGAAAATTCATACTATGGTTTACAAATATATAAAATCACAAATCCCTACTTCTATCATGCACAACCATTAAAAATAATCTCCCAGACCCTCTTTCTACACCTTGAAATACCCACTACCCCTCAACAAAATGGCCACAATGATATTTCCTTTTGCCGAAATTCAATTCAACAACTTCTACCATTTTATCTTTCCCTCCCATCTTCTCAGACATAGAAGCGAATCGACGAGCTCCAGCGAAAGATTTTTCAACGTCAACAGGGTTGCCATAGAACACCTAATAACACCAAAAACAGTTGATCTTTGGATTATGGTAACTTGGCGATTTTTTGGCGAAAATTTGGCGACCAACTCTGCTACAGCAACCCACTATTTTTTTTTTTTTCCGCCGCCATTTTGTCTTCTCACGAAGTAAAGACATGTTTGTTTTCTTTTTATTTACTGAACACTTTTTCCAACAATCTACTAGCCAAATTACACTTATACTAGAAATTTTATCTAACAAAAATGCTTAATCATGACAAATATTCACTGCAAAATTGGGAAAAAGTGCACAATTGCAAACTCCTTGCGCGTTTTTCACAATAACACATACACATAAACCATGTACACGTCGACTTATTTTTACTTAAAAAAAATCCCAGAATTGCACAAAAAAGGCATTGCGCACTCTTCACTATATCCATGTACACTGCTTTTTTCTCATAAATTAGAAAAATTTCACGAAAATGCATGACAATTTTCTGAATCTTTAAACCCGGTAAAAAGAACATATATGAAATTACCTTATCGCGAAAAAGCATATACCCTTTCCAAATATGAACATTTCCACGTATAAAATAAATAAAATATCTAAAAACTTTTACCTCTAAATTATCTATTATGTTATAAATGTCACCAACGAATTCTTACCACAAACATTACAAATACTTAGTGTCAAATATTTAAATTATTTACATGCACGTTTACTTCAACTAAAACGTATACCAAATTCCTACAAACATAAAATTCACAAAATAACTATCATTTAATTAAAATATCACTAAACCATGTACACGTTGACTTATTTTTACTTAAAAAAACATCCCAGAATTGCACAAAAATGGCATTGCACATACTCTTCACTATATCCATGTACACTGCTTTTTTCTCATAAATTAGAAAAATTTCACGAAAATGCATGAAAATACTCAACGTATACTACTCAAACGTATTCCAAAATACTACAAACATATAACTCACAAAATCACGATCATTAAATTAAAATATAATTAAATTAAAAAACACTACTTAAAATATAAATAAGCACATACATTAAATTAATAAAAATTAGATTACAATCCTAATTACTTTAAACTAAATCATTGCTAATAACAATTTTCAAATAATATCATTTTAATTTATTTACTCCTTACATTTAGAACAATGCATAAAAATAATATCCTCAAATGATTAAAAATACTAACTTACCTAATCTTCTTCAGAATCTTCATTACATCGTTGCAGTACTACTGCTAATTTCTAAATCCTAAATCCAGTAGTCAACTGGAAGTCTATTCACCAAGTAATAAGAAATTAATAAAATTTCACCTATACTCAAACTACTTTCAGCAAACCACGTATCCTTCCTTACACTCCTTTTCACAAAATGTCCATTTTCACCATATTTCTTGCACCGCTATTTAAACTTGTAATATCCTTCCTTTCACACAATCTCAACTTATTATTATTATCAAATAAACGCATTAAAAATTTAGAATTCACTTTACATAGCGCCATTCAATCCAAAAATTAATCAACACTATTTCACACAACACACAATGAAGCTTTCCCAAATTAACCCCCTTTTCTGATTAAAGAACTGTAATTTGTCCATTAATGTCACATGACATATCTCATGATCTCTCATTTCCCTCACACAAAATAATGCGTGATCGGAACTGAGTGCTTCTCTCATTATTACCAAAGTCCTAGGCAGTAACCTTTATTGCCTCCAAAATGTCGCCAAACTACCAGTTACCATATTCCAAAGATCAGCCCCAAAAACCAGCGCAGAACACATATCGCCACATTTGGTGAAATTAGGGCGTATATCAGAGTTGTACCGGGCAAGGACTATTATTTTCATTTCAGCATTTTGCGTTGGTTCACTATAAATGTCCAATTCACTTTTCAAATTGTTGCCACCAAATATTATCGCCCTGTATTATATTTAAAGAAATTAAATAATGAAGAATCTTGCATAAATGTATGTATGTTTCTCGCATTGTGATAAAACAACGGTACCTAGAGCCATCCAGTTTTGAATAACGTACGTTTTCACTCAAATATGGGCATCTAGAAGCCCAAATTTGGAATTTGTT